AATTTTCAATTATAATTAATCCAAATTTAATATTAGATGTAAAAGAGAATTCCCATAGAGATAATTTGGTAAAGAATAGGTTGAAAAATTGATGATTGTGCTTAAGGCTGATTAAATTCTGTAATTTTCATTTGATGAATCAAAATTTAGTTATAAAGTTCATACTCGATTATGAAAGATTTAAACGAGCACTCGTAGTTAATATCTAATTTATTGATATTGAAGATTCTATAAGATCTAATACAATAAATGGATCATATGATAGACTTGAAATTTTAATACAAAATCTAAAAGATTCTTAAATTCTACATTAAGCTATATAATTTGTCAGCATTATTGTAGAATACAAAATGCCATAGTCTGGAAGAGTGAACTAATTCACCAATTCAAGTTATTAATTGTTTTTATTTAATATTAATTATTAACAAAAAATATGTAAAAATAATAAATAAAAAAATTAAAAGTAGAGAAAATGGTAATTCCAGAAGCTCTTAATTAAATCAAAAGGCCTATATCTATTTAAAATTAAATACAAGAAATGGAATCTAACATCAAAACAGAACCAAATTATATAAAATATTAAAATAATATCTCTGATTTTCCTTAATAGACGCCCTAGTTGCTTATTAATCAACATTCACCTCATAAAATATCCATTTAATTTTGTTAATCAAAATCTTTTTTTTGGTGAAGAAAACTTACTATCTTTAAAATATTTTTAGTTTTAAGAACTAAATTTTAAATTCAACATTATAATATGGATATGGATGCTGAGGAATTTTGAATGAAGATTAGGAATCATTATTTATTAAATTCTTAAACTTAAGTTTAAGTTTCATTCAAAAGAGTGGTAGTGAATTGAATTTCAAAATAATCAAAAAGTCTATAAAAAATTGTAATCCAAAATAAAGCAAGCCTAAAGGAGGAGGCAGTTATTTAGGACGCAACAACAATTAAAATATTCAAAAAAATTTAATTTTTTTTTTTTAATTTAGTAAATGAAGGTGCTGAATAATTAAGACTTTTTTATAAACACCTCTAATTTTTAATTCAGCTTATGATTGTGATAATTAATAAGTTGAAAGCCTTACACATTTCGTATTAAAAATGATAAAATAAGATCAAAAAAACTTAAGACAAAATTTAAAATATTTTTCCTTATTTTACCATAGAAGAAGAAGCTAAAATTAAACAAATTATTTAAAGATTGTTAGTGGCCAAATCATTTAGTTTTTCTCTGTTTCTCTTCCTAAAAAAACTTCTAGTAATAAGCTGATTAAGTTGATAGGATTTATAGAAAAATTAGTTAAATGAATTACAGGACAATCTTAGTAATTATCCAGTGCTATAAATGAGATTTTGAAGAAGGATGATAGAAATAGCAAATATTTAATTTAAAAAAAAATAATTTTGAAATAATTTCAATTTTTTTCAGTTGGTTTATGTAATTAATTATAATAACAAGTATTGAGCTTTAATTAAAATGATCAGACTAAATTATACTCATTTATTCATTAATTGAATTAATGACTTATGTTGTCAAAGCACTTTGATTTTTACTTATTAACAATTAAATTTACTGCATTTAGTATTGTAAAAACTATATTTTTATATCAGTAATATAAAATTAAAATACATCATTTAATCAAAAAAATTTATATGTTAATTTGCTGAATTTTACATTTATAATGTATGTTAAATTTATAAATATATTCCGGATTATTTTACAACATATGGTCAATTAATTTTCTCTATTTAATAAAGAGATATTTTTGGAAATAACTTCAAAGAGACTAATATTATTTATAGCAAATAATTTGAGACCAAATAGTTTATTATACTGCTTTGATATTTAGATCTTGAGGAAATTCTTATAAAAAATGTTTATCAAGTATTTATGGAACTTTTTAGAGATTTTTACTTTGGATATTAGATTTTCTTTGTATTTATTTTTTTAGCCAGTATTTATTCATATTCAATAAATTATGATATAGAAAACTAATTATCTTAAACAGTAGACTTTGAATTAATCTATTCGAAAATACCACTAGTTTTGACATTAATTTAATTACAATTATGAGCATCATTGATCATATTTTTAAGGTTTACACTTATTTAAAATGCTTTTGAATATATTTTTGAGTTAAAATATGTCAAAATGATGATTATGATTGCTCTTTTTACTCAGTTTTACATGTTCCCAATAATAGCCATCTTTTTCATATTAATTTTAAAGATAACCTATATAATGTCTTAGTAACTATCAAGCCATCCCTCTCTTTATATTTAATTTAATAATTAATTAATTATAAAAATTTTAATCTTAATATATTCGAAGAGCGTTATTGAAGAGCAAGAATTTTTATACGATTTTTTATTTTTTCATTTAGATTTACATTAAATTATTGATTGCAAAAATGTAGTTTTTCAATTTAAAGTTAATGGATCGGAATTTTTTGTTCAAATGATAAAAAATAAAGGATACTTCGAGTAATTGTGCTAATTTAAATTAATATTTGAAGAGTTGAGAAACTGAATAGATAATTGTTAGAAGTGACTAGCTAATCTTTAAGAATTTTTACAAATAACAGAAAAAATTCTTAATCTTATAAAGGAAACGAATTGAGATACTTTTTGTATGGCAAAAGAATAATTAGATAAGCTAAGATCCTAAATAGAAATTTTTTTAATAAATCATGAAGTTTGAATTAATTAGTAAAAACCTAATATTTTGAATTGTGGGGGTATGGTGGTAGACCGAACTATAGAAAGGTGCAATAATTAACCCTTAATTGGAATGTCTCATAGCCTGCTGAAATATGTGGAAGTTAAGTGTAAATGAGAATACAATTTATGCAAAACTCCATTATTTATAGATTTCGAGCTTAGATACAACTAATCAACATTTCTTTTTCTCTTAAAATATTATTGAAATAGGATTTAGATTTTTATCAGAAAGCTTTTTTTCAGTAGATAATAAAAATAGTATTTTTGCCCAGATTAAAGGCTTTATTGTAATTTATTTGCCTCGCCATTTTCAGCATCTTAAAAATGAACATTTTAGAACTTTTCAATAAATAGTTTTAACAACAATGCTAAGTATTATTATTATATAATAAACTTTAATAATCTAATTAATTAATTAAATTCATTATATATGAGATATTTAAAAACATCAAGAATTAATTTTAAAGGAAATTGTAATTAGTAAATTCAAAATTCTAAAAGAAAAATTCTAGATTTTAAAATTGTCATGTTAATTTAAATCAAATAAATTATGAGCAAGAGAATAAAAGCTTTGATTAAAAGAGATGATAATTGTTTGGTATTACTTTTAATAAAGATTAATCGATTGTATTAGCTGGATGTGGTCAGGACATTAAAGTATTTCAAAATCAATAAGGGAAATTGAATCATGTTTAAATGGTAAGTGAGCATAAAGACTCTATGTGAACTTTAAATTTTTTGAAAAAAAAAAATAATCTTGTATCTGGAAATTATGATAATTCAATAATAATATGGTAGGTGATTGGAATTAATTAATGGAACTGTTAATAAAAATAAAAGGGACATTCAATATATATGTTAATCATACTGATGATTTAATTATAACAGATAGTTTAGATAATAAGAAAATCAAATTTTGGAGGAAATATATCTAATGATTATGTAAAAACTCATAACTAAGTGATTTTAAGTATACACTAAGCTTATATGAACAGTATAATAAATTTATTTCTTGTTTAATGGATTCATAAATATCAGTCATAGTATAGTCAAAGTTTGATAAGTAAGGAAATAGATAATGATTTAAAAATGATAATTTATTTACATTCTTATGTAAAGAATAAAGTATATGTATGTAATGGAAACTCGGAGTAAATATTAAAGGAAGACTAAGGATTATAGGTAGGCTAAGGAAATTTAATTAAAGTGTGGTGCAAGTACTTGATATTGTTTATTTCCTAATCATAAATTAATGTCAAA